CAGACTGCAATCTAGGTTAAGCTTATGGGGCTGTCACGTGATGAACAAACGACTCAAAAAACCCAAAGACTGGAAACAGGTGAATCAATAATTCCAATACAGAAACTATAGGAAGTTGCGCAAATGCGCATCTGCGACTGAACGAATCACTCCCACGAGACGACTCGTTCTTCCCAAGTCACATTAAAGATTCGTTCAAAATGAACGAATCGTTCAAGAACGACCCATCACTAGTTGCTGGTGCTAACTGAACTGTGGAGACATGAAAATATGCGGACAGATGACACTTGTTAATTGTTGGTCGAGACCAACCGCTTGCAAAAAGAAAAAAAGCCCTGACCAAAAGGAGGTAAATACCCATGTTGTTAAGTTAGCTGATGATTTGTTGAATGGAGTTGGTTAGTTAGTTAGCTAGTTAGTTGTTCGATTGCCAGCCTAGCCTCCTGTGAGGAAAAGCCAGAGGCTGCCAGTGATGTAGCCTACTGTCCCGTGGAATTTTTGATGATTCCCGCCCGCTCTCCCTGTCATATATGAAAATATATTTTTAAAGTAAAAAAAGATCCATGTTCTGTTATTGTAAGTTAGTGGCGCACACTGGCTCTTTCACATTGGATGTGAAACACGAAGAAGAGAGCTGCAAAAAGCACCTCAAGACCAGTTTGACATCCTCATTCGTGTAGCGCAGGGTTATTCAAATCACGGTCCTCGAGGTCCGAGCACTGCTGGTTTTCCAGCCTTCCTTTACCTGTCAGTCAGGTGTGAAGCCTCTGACCTATCAGAATCAGTAATTATTAAACAACTACCTGGGAGAACTGAAAACACAGCCTGGATTTGGAATCGAGGTCCAGAGTTGAAGAACCCTGGTGTAGCGGATAGTGCTGTTTTGTGGTAATCTTCCCTCCACATATCTGCTGCAATAGCACATTCATATTTTTCAATTATACGTTTATTTCCGCTGACACGGACGCCTGCACCTCCGGAGCTTTTTTCTCAACATGCCTTGATACAGTTGTTGGATGAGGCAGAATGTCTTTAACATTAAATTTGCCGTATTTAACACCATGCTGAAGTACGTCAGTAAAGCCATCCCCGGCTGTTAAATGACAATATCTTTACAGCACAGTTCGCCACATTTTTTAGTATATTATTGTGATCTTGTAACATTAAAATACAATGTGTTTAATTTTTTGTGCTTTTTTTTTTTACAGAGTTCTAAATGTTAAAAATGTCTTCTTTGAATAAATAAAATTTCACAAGTGACACACTAGCCTAGTTTTTATACATAGCATAAAAGTAAAAAAGAATATATGCAGTGTTATCTTCATTTTAGGTGTGTGCTGTATATGTGGGGAAGGGGCTTACTGGTGATGCAGGTGGGTGGAGGGAGGTTGGCAGTGTGCTGTGCTGTGTGCCTGTGGGGAGTGGGCTAACTGGTGATTGCAGTGTGGGGGGGGCTTGCTGGTGATGGCAGTGGTGTGGGGAGGGGTCATTGTGCTGTATGTAGAGGTGAGGGGAGAGAAAGGCAGGGCAAACAAGGTCTTTGGTTGATGGAATAGAGTAATTATATGTAGATGTTAAGTATAACATTGTAAAAAGAATGTTGTCTAACTATTAGAGTATTACAGTAAAATTCGGTGGGAAACACTGAAACAACATTTAAAAATATACTGTACACCTACATTTTTAGAGTTTTGAACTCAAATCATGGAAGCCGGATCAAGGAAGTTCATGGAGGTGGCAGCTCTTGGAAGACCCTTCCAGCTGGGGATGCTGTATGATTGTCGTGATGATTGTCTCATTCCAGGTAAGTCGCTAAATCAAACAGCTGTTTCTGGTTCTTTATCCGATTGTGTAGAAATTCAACTCTAGGGTAGAGTTTTCAATGAGACCACATGTTTTTGAGAGTACATGAGTGTACATGACACCCTGCCTTTGAGGGTAGCTTAGCTCCTGTAGCTCAACAAGCACAGCATTGAGCTAACAATACACAGAGTATAATTTCACATCCCAGAGAACAGACATGAACTGCAAATATGATGGTAATTTTTTTCATATCAAGTAATGATAATTATCACAATACAATTCATGTCAGTATTTCATTACTTCAGTGTTCAATATTCTCTTAGAATTGCCTTTAAACAGATTCCCAACATGGAAAAACACAAAAAAAATTAAAAGACTGCAAGACTTGTTTATTAATTTTAATAAACAAATTGTCACGCCCCGCTCCGTCCGCTCCCGATGTGTGCCACGCCCATCTCATTACCTCCTGTTTCGCCCTAATTGTTCCCACCTGTAGCTCGTTCTGTTACCTAGTCTTGTGTATTTAGTCCGAGTCTCAGTCTGTATTCCCTAGATCTGTCATTGTAGTGTCTCGTTGTGGTGTCCGTGCCTGTCCGTCCCTCCATTAAAACCCACGTTTCCCTAACTCCTTGCTGCGATTCGCCTGCTTCCTTGTTCGCCTCCCCGCCGGCGTGACACAAATCATATAAAAATAAACTTTTTTATCATAGGGTGTAACACTAGAAACTTTTGTTTCTAGGTTTTTTTCAAAATATCAATATGTATCACAATATTCTAAAATTAATATGTAGGACACAATAAAATATGATGTGTGGTTTTGAGTTGTCCTGATTGTGACAACCAAATTGTTTTACTAACAGTTATAGAGAATGGTATAATGATAAATTATGCCAACCATAGGCTCATAACTTGATGGAATTTGTGTAAAACTAATACACTATTACTATAGTAGCTTGGATCGAAAACTGGTTAACAGACAGGAAGCAGTAGTTATTAGAGGCACCATGTCCCAGTGGGCCTGTGTTCATAGTGGGGTACTGCAGGGTTAACTTTGTTATTATGTTATTTATCTTATTTACAGTTCATCACTGTAGTATGCTGAAACATCGCTTCGTCACTAAAGTCTATGGCGTTTCACGAAAGTGCAAGCCGGCGCATTTTTAGCGTAAAATGCGAAAAAGCCTTTTTCTCCGCAATAAATGTTTACTTTGTCTGTAATAAATGCAGACACACTCGCTTGCGTGCTCCCTCCCCCCGTCACATATGTGTATCAACATTAAATAACATTAGACAATTATTTAATAACATTCTTAGTAGCAGCAGCGGTAGTCTGTGCTTTTGCATTAAAAAACTGGAGTACTGAATACATTATCTAAAGCAGTGGTTCTCATACTTTTTCAGCAGGAGGCCCCCTTGTGTAGGGTGAATCCTTTTGTGGCCCCCCTCCTCAAAAAAAAA